GACCTACTACATTTTGTTTTGTTATTGTCAAATCAGCTGACAGCTTTCTTCATTGGTTATCCATAGCCAGGGCCTGACTTTATTCTCATTGGCTAGATTTATAATTCATGTTCTGGCATAGGACAAGGTCATTGGATTTGAGCAATTTGATTGGTTGGAAATGTCATCATTCTCCCAGTTCATGGTTGTAATATTTGACCTACTTTCATTTATAATTAGATTGATAAATACTGATTTAATGAATTTTAGTCTAATTAATTACTTTTACACCAAAATGAAGTGATGTGTTAAAAGTTAATTATCTCTTTCTAATGGTGTTATCTTTGTATAAACATAGAGATAAGATGAGTAATGGCTACATGGTTAAGAATGGTGTTGAGTCTTGCTGTGAATAAATTAACCCAGATTTTAATACCACTGTTAAATGGTAGTTTTCCCACTTTTAAACAACCACAATGAAATATACATTACATATTCAATAATCTACTTAAGAGTGAAGTCTTTCTCAACTGTTTATAATTTATGATCAAATTATAACCTTGGAATACTCTGTATTGGAGTTGAAGTCCAATCAATAGAATGTTCGAGTGAAAGATGACATAAGCCTTCTTATAACAATAATAATAATAGTAATGATTTCAACCATATTGGCTGCATCATTGCCCAGCAAAGACGTCACCCAAGGTTTAATGTCAGTAAGACATGTCACACATTAATGTCATTATGCATATGATGAATTAGATTTTAAGAAAAGTTAACATTACAGAAGGCAGTATCCTCTAAAACATTTTTTTTTATGTAACAGTCTCTTAGCTTAAAATATCAATTAGAACCAGTTCTGCAAATTGAGCTTTCAAATAAAAAACCATTGTCAAAAAAGAGCAAACCATTAAATGCAATAGGACACATCCAAGTGATATAGAATATAGACAAGAACCATTGTTCTTTGTAATATGCATATGAATCTATTCTAGTATTTTGTGCAACCATATAGTATTACTTTGACATGTTGTTCTACATGTTATATAATTTATCATGCAGCCTTCACATGTAGTTTTCTCTTGCTATATAGTTAGCAGACAGCTGCTATTTTGTGTCATATTTTCCATATGTGTAACTCTTACTATACGCTCAGGACATTGACCTACTTTTCTTTCTCTAAGAACAATAGAGATAGATGTATACAGAGTACATATTCATTTGATTTATTTATAGAAAATAATTATTGTCAACATTTTACACAACAACATTTATAAATAGAAATCTCCTTTAAATTCATTATAGAATTTACAATCCTAGTCTATAGATAAAGTCCTCTGGAAAAAATATAACACAATTGGACTTATATTACACAAATTAAGCATAGAAACAATATTCCCTCTTATGAAGGATGTTCATTTGTTAAATCTCAAGGTTAAGTAGATAAGTTACTTTTTTTCAGTACATTAAAAATGGGTTTAATTTTTCAATTACAATTTTGATACTTTATGCAAATTTATTTCATGTAGGTGCCAGCAGTGAAGGAGGGGTTCCAGTTTTTCCATGGCACTGTTTAGTTCCATTTCTAACAAACACTGGTCCTCAACATGCTAGACCAACATCACCAGAACAACCCACACAAGTTCAACCCAAACCCTCTGTCCCTACCATGGTTACTCTTCCTGCTCCCCAACGACCACTACCCGCTCCTCTACCAACTGCAGCACCATTACCAAATCATCATTCACAAAGTGTTAGTGAAGCACGTAAGTTTAAAAACTTAGTTATAATATTGATAGGACACAAAATATGATTAACTTAGTAAAAGGTCAAAGTGGTGATTTTTACAAGATATTTTATCAACAATATACCTTTGGCTTAAATTCTTTTAAAGAAGACCATTATTTTTCGGCTGAAAAATCAAGGATGCATATTTTTATATTGCCTATGAGTAACCTCTTGATCTTAAATTGTTTCAGCTATAAAAGAAGATCTAGATATTGATGAAGACGATGATGATGTGTTTGAGCCAATGGATGCTCCAAAAAAGTCTGTAGTACCACGCTCTCCTGCTAAACGAAGAACTCAATCACTGAGTGCTCTTAAAGATAAAGAGGAACCCAGAAGTCCAAGAAAGGTAGAATTTTTATTTTAGTGTTGGGTCATGAGCATAAGAACAATTTTGATATACGTAACATTAATTCCACTTATGATAGAATCTATCTCTTCGTCATTGTTATATTTATGATGAATCTATTATTCTAAGTAAGATATTAAAGTTTCGTTCAGCAAGTTTTGTGCTTTCTTTGTAAGTCCAGGAATAGTTAAAGATGGATTTTTTAGGTGGGTTTCCCACTATCAATACTAGACTATGTGCCATGCAGCTTGAAAATGAAAATTTGTTGACTTATTGTGTTACAAAAGTTTCTATATTGGACACTGCATGGTTTTGCCAGTCAGCATTAGCCCAAAGTGGAATGTTAAACTTTGTTTCTTTTAAAAACTTTATAGTACCGTGTATGTCATGTTATCTTAAATACTTTCAGACCCGTGATAAAGATCATATAAGACGACCAATGAATGCATTTATGATATTTAGTAAACGTCATAGAGCTCTGGTACATCAACGTCACCCTAACCAAGATAATAGAACAGTCAGTAAGATACTAGGTGAATGGTGGTATGCTCTTGGTCCTAAAGAAAAACAGAAATATCATGAACTTGCTTCACAGGTAAAAATCACTTTTATGTTAATCAATATTGACAATTTGAATAAACATGGGTTTCCTTAAGTTGTTAGTAGGTATCAGTCCATGAATTTCAAAACTTTTAGCAACTTCTGAGAACACCAACATGACATTTCTTGTATGTCAGTTACAAATTCCAACCAACCATTTTAGGTGAAAGAAGCCCATTTTAAAGCTCATCCTGAATGGAAATGGTGTAGTAAAGATAGAAAACGTTCTACTACTATAGCTGCTACATTAAAACAACGCGGTGGACAGAGACTGAGTTCTTCAGAAGATCCTGGTGAAATAAATGGTAGGTTTTCATTTTAACTTCAAAAATATATCACAGGGAAACAGTTAATATATCAAATAACAGTAATGGTACAAAAAATGGCAATAGCCCACAGTTAGTTTTATTGAATTTTAGGGAATCAAATGTCAGTGTCTGAAAAAAGCTACATGGAATTCATTTATCTTCTAACTTGGAATCACTTTTTCATTTAGCTGAGATAAAGTAGATGCCTAGTCTGAACCTCTTGAGACATTTCTGAAACTACAGACTGCAGAGACAATTAAAAATGTGGACTGAAAATAATGTATTAAAAATTGATTGTGTGTTTCAGATGAACTGTTTGATGATTTTGTGACACCGATATCACTACCACCAGCTGAATTACCCCCCTTACCATTAGATCACATTTCCAACTTTAAACAACGCTCACAGAGTTATTCTACAGCACCTAGAGAAGATTTTACTCCTAGATTCCAAACTAGAGATGGTGCTTTTACTGAGGTAATGGATTCATTTTTGTTTTTGTCTTTTTATATCTCCCATTCCTCTTGCTGGTGAAAGATAGGCAGACAGACATTAAATAGTTTGATTTATTCAGGTTAAGCATATGTTATCATTTTGACATTTTATAAATAAAAAAATATGTCCATAGAAGACTCTGCCTAACATTTCCTTAACTTATTTTTAGTATTTTTTTATTTACAGAATTCAGCCGAATCATCAAATAATATCACTACAACACAACCTAGTGCTCAGATTAAAACTAACTATTATAACAATAGACAGTCACAGGGTGATGATGATAGTGATGGGGAAAATTTAGTTATTTGTGTTGATGGTAAGTATTTAATTTAACAATATGGTTTCAAGTATTTCTTTAGTTTAGTAATTGGTGTTTATGAGTTTTTCATTAATTTACTTAGTATTTATTATGGTTTCTAGTAATTCTTATTTCTTAAAATATTGGCTCGATATATATGAACATTTAGTATTATTAAAATGAAATGGAAACATTTTGACTGTGGACACACTCACAGATAACATTTGATTGGCATTCTATATAAATGTACATGATAAGGCTAGATTGGCTTGCAAAACCTAGGACAAAAACTATATAATACATAGTCATCTTCACTTTATCTAATTTTGAAGTGTTTTATGTTCACTTCAAATAGTTTATTTAGCAACTTTTTCTTCAATGAATATTTTGTAGGTGAGAATGCCAATCAGGACTCAGCTAACAATAACACAGCAGCAGGAGTAGGTATTGATCTGAACTGTAAAGAGCGAGTGGTCTCTGATAGTGAAACAGATAGTCAAAATGAGGAGGAGATAATAGAAAATAAAGCTTTCCCACAACAACGTTTCTCCCCAGTAATGAAACCAGCTGCCACAGACATAGCTCACAGACCTAAACCAATAAAACGCATCCCAGAACAGAAGTTAGAAATTGAAGGGCCCTCACATGATCCAGTTTCTGGACACATACTTCCTCGACCTTCCAGTACAGGTTCAAGTTTTCAACCTAAAGCCAATGTTTTCAAGGCTCGTTCTCGTGGAAATCGTATGATGTCCTCAACTACTTATGAAAATGAAGTAACACCTCAGTATGTTCAGAAAGAACGTTCGGGTAGCTACACACATTCCGGAAGTTCCCGACTTCCTTACACGCAGCAACGAACAGAGAAACTAGGTCCCATGAAAATACATAACATAACAATGTCCACACCTGACAAGCAGCAGATTATTGTTTCGTCCAACACTCAAACCGTGCTCGGTAAACAGAATGGAAAGGGTCCAATGTTAGGCAAAATGACACAGAAAGCATCTAAAAATACAAAAGTTTCACCACAAGCAGGTCAGCAGGCAGCTTTTCAACAGATAACTTTCCAACAAGCAGTTTCATCTCCAGTTGTTCAAATTTCTAAAAATACTTCGGGACCAATGCAATTATTAACTACAGTAGTTTCGTCTGCTGGCCAGACAGGGCAGGTCATGCCCACTTTTACTACTACTAGTAAACCTATATCAACCCCTGTACCTATTGCTTCTAAACCTTTAGTACCACACAGTCAAGCAACAACTAGTGCCAGTACTGGATCCAGACCAAACTCAGTTGGTGCCATCGGTGTTCAATCTCAACAGATATCTCCTGCAGTTGGAACATTGGTACTGCAGAGTATACCTAGTAATCAGTATGTCACATCCTCACAGAATTCAAATATACAGACCACCCCTACCTCAGCTTCAGCTGCTTTCATCACCATCAGAAATATTGCCAGTCCAGCCCAGAATAATCAGCAACAGGCTCAAAGTATTCAGCCAACGTTTGTAACTGTAGTGAAACAGAATCAGAATGGTCAAGCCATTCAACAACCTGGTACACAGACCATTTTGAGTCAGCAACCAACTCATGTTCAGTATATACTACCATCTTTACAACTAGCTCCCCCAGGAACCAAGATGGAGAGTGTCTTACAGATGGCTTTACCTGGAACATCAAACTTGTTAACAGTCAATGGGGCTAATGCTCAAGGACAACCAAGCCCTCAACCAATGCAGGGAAAAATTCAGTTGTCCGCCCAGCCTACTCATATACGCATGGCTAGTGTAAACAACCAGGTCTTGCAGCCCACTCAAACTGCACTGGGACAGAAAATCCAATCTCCACAACAAATGGTGACAAAGCTGTTAGCTGTGAATCAATCACCTACAGGAGTTGCTACATCTCAAGCTCAAGTACAGCTATCACAGGCTAGATTTCAGCAACCAGTATCTCTAGCTGTCAGTGGACAACAACTGGTACAACATACCAATCAGCAAGTTACACAACAGAATCAACTACAGCAGAGACTTATTCTACCTTCAAACCAGAAGTAAGAAATTGTTATGTTTCACAGTTTTCTTCGCTGATGCAGATTCATATTTTAAAACTCCTCAGGAATCTAACATTCACAATATGCAAAATAGTAACAAAAAAGTTGATCAAAAACCTGTCTGTGGATGGGTTCGAATTGTCTTACTGGATTTATATATTTAAATCATGTCCTTGAAATAGGATATCTTAGAAACAGTGTTAGAAGATAAGACCCCAGGATATCCTAGTGTTAAGATCATTTTGAGAATATAGGGTCAGGTTATTGTGAAGTGCTGTATATATAGTTGATTAATAGGTATCCTATGTTGTAGTTACTCTCCAGAGGGTAACAGTATAGTGGCATGTGATCTGTTCCTCAGACGTCTTAAAGGTAGAAGTGGAAAATAATGAATCAAAAACAAATTTAGTGAATTTAAAGACTATCTTTAATTTAAAGTTCTATATTAAATGATTATTTCAGAATAGCATATGTCCAAGGTTCTGTACCACTAATAACAAATAATAACAATAAAATAGATGGAAGTTATTATGTTCAAGGTAAGATTAGTTTAACTGCAATGTTTTATTAAGGCCTGTTTTCTGTTTCAAAGAAGCCATTTAGCATACAAATTTGGCTTTATAACCATTTCAGTCATGAATATGTTACAATGAAGGGAAAACTCACAGACATAAAGCTGTTTACCACAGCCAAACCAAGCCTTAGTAAGGTTTGAAGAGTCTAGGAAACTGCCAAGGTTGCTCTGATATATTGATTTTTTTTGCTGATAACTTGATATACATTTGTAAATGTATAAATATATTTCAGGTCAATCGGGTGTGCAGCAGTTATTGATACAACAACAGCCACAAGTGAGATCTCCTGCTGCCAGTCCTGCACCTACTGGTATCATACAGGGTGTTCTTCAGGGTCAAACTCTAGCTTCATCACAACCTAAATTATCTGTATCTAGTCCTCCACAGGCTCAGAGTCCAATGTATAACCAAGGTACTGTCAAACACTTACTTGATTTAAACCTGATATTGCCAATCTTTATCTTCATATAGCCACGATTATGTCAAAATCAAGCTTGATATAGCCATGGTGGTGTCAAACTCTAGCTTGATATAGCCATGGTGGTGTCAAACTCTAGCTTGATATAGCCATTGTGGTGTCAAACACTAGCTTGATATAGCCATGGTGGTGTCAAACACTAGCTTGATATAGCCATGGTGGTGTCAAACTCTATTTTGATATAACCATGGCAATGTCAAACTCTTAGCTTTATTTAGCCATAATAATGTCAAAATCTTTCTTCATATTGCCATGTAAGCATACTTGTAAGCATAATTGGTATGGATCGAATGAAGACCCTGTATAACATTATCATGATCATTTCCTTGACTATTTACCTACTGTGATATATTGTAGGTGTGAATTATTTTACGGTACAATCAGATGGTAAAAATGATATTGGTTACCATATTACTACCAGTACTAGTAATAATACTCATTTCCAAAATAAACCGATGAGAGTGAAAGCTACTACAGCTAGTATACCAGTGGCTACAGAGAGTTTACAGCGTGCTCCACCTACAACAGGTTTGTATAAACTGCCCTAATTTTCAAAATATTATACTTTAAAGGTTAAACACATTAAATATCTTGATTTAGCCATATAACCTCTGATACCGGTATCTAATTAAAACAAAAAAGAAATTACTGAGTGGAAAAGTTGACGACAAATCTGGATGAAGATTTTTTGTTTATGTTTGTGGGAAGGTGTTATGAACTTATGATGTCTCTTTTATTTTTTTATTTATTGTCTATAAGAGTATGTTTAAGATATTCCATTGATATCCACTAGAATCTACACCTGTGTT